TGAACCTGCTGCCATGCAGGACTTTCTAGCTATGGCCAACAGGGCACCTGGACCTAGCCCCAACTGAGCTGGGGGAAGCTGCTGTCAGCTGTGATCTTTGTCTAAACTGGACAACACACAGCTGAACAGGTCTACTTCATCTGGTCTTCTCGCTCAGTTATGAGCCTACATGTGTGTGTTGCGGACAAATACACATGCACGCACAAAACTCATCAATCCATTTGGGATTTTCCTATTTCCTGGAGTAAGAAGCACTAGTTATTCTTTGTAATAACGATCCCCCGAAAGCCCAAAGCTGTAGTAGAGGGTGGGTGGAAGGATGAGTAAAGCACGCTGCTAAACAAACCTCAGCCGCAGTCACTACAGAGCTCCAGGTTCTGGGCTTCCTTGTGGAAGACTGCCATGCAGTGAGCATCACATGCAGAAACCAGCTCACAAAGATTAAAAAAAAAAAAATCCTCCTCTCCCTCCTCCTTTCCTTCCCATCCTCAAGGGGAATGCAGTGCTGTTGACTTGAGACTGCAATGCAACTCCCAGAGGTGCTGCCAAAATGCCACTGTGATGCCTCATGGCACAACATTTCAGCCAAATACCAACCCAAGGGAGGTGGGGGAACCAACCAGCCGTTTATATATTGCAGCAGCAGTGATGTCACACGCTCCAGCCAAGTTTGCTGGTTCGTTGTAGCTCCCGTCTACTGAAAAAAAGTTGACATTCAGTCTGTGCCAGGCCAGAAATAGTCTCTGTAACTTAACCTCCTCGTCACAACTTGCTAGGCACTTAAGAGAGACACTGAAAAAAGCCTCCTATTTTAAAGGGAGGGGAGGCTGGTTTCTGATTAAGCTTCTTGAAATCTGTACATTCACGCAAGCTTTTCCAGTAGCTTGGATCAGATCATACCTATTGCAAACACCTCGTGTTTCTCAGCATTTCTCAAGCAGTTCCAAATGCAAGAGCCTTGCTTTTTGTCCATCTTGAAAATAGACTACACTCAGTTCCCCTAGATTGTAGAACTAGCTGAATCCGGAACTAGGTTTGAACCTTGTACTTTGCTTCCTTCTCCAGAAAGGTAGAGAAATGTGACTTTGCCATCAGCCAGTTATGAACAGTTTGCTCAACAGTTTAGGAGCTGCCATCATCTCTGTACAAAGGATTGGCAGATCACTAAAGTGCTGCTGTTTTCCTACAGTCCTTGTAGTGATCTGCCCCTTAAACACTTGTACAGATACAGTTTTTCCAGCTTGAAACATTACACTACCCAAGTATTAGTATTATGGCCAGGCGAGACAAGGATCTTCACAGGGATTTCAGAGACAGTGACGGTCACTATTCTTCTTTAGTCAGTGATGCTGAGTGTTTTTTATTATAGTGACTCCGTCTAGGAAAATAACTGCTGAGATTACATCATCATCTCCATGCTTATTGTTACCCTACTCACTTTTCAGCAAATGTTCTCAGTTTACAAGGGACAAGATGTTTCTTCAGACCTCTATCCATGCGATTTGAAAGCCAGGCTTCCTCCTAGTTCAGGCATCATCACCAATAAATAGTGATAAGCATTGTGCTGTTGGAATTTAGTCAACAGCTCCGTTGATGAGTGAGCCAAAACATAATCAGCACGGTCTCTCACTGCGGTGTTGGCTTTGCACAGTTAGGAGTACCACAGAAGCACTAAAATTTTAATTTAACCTCTGAGCAAGGAGACAACTGAGAACAGCTCTGTGCAGTGAGGATGCCCTTTTCATATGCTTACTTCCTGGCTGCAAGCAATGATAGAGTTTTTCCCTGTTTCTTTGCTTTTACTTTTTTTTAAATCAGAAATCTTAAAAAGACCACAAAAAGCTTTGAGTGATACAGGCTTTCTCTAAACTAGCAGTCACAGCCAGCTTACTAACACCTGTTCATCCCCAGAAGAGGTGTAGGAGACCGTCCCAGCAAGTAAGCCCTTGTTGCTGCTTTTCCCAATGTACTTTGGATACTGCAGGATGATAACAAGTTTTCTCAGAGGAGTCTCTTGGTTCAGGAAAATCTTCTGTATCTATTCGTACGTTCTCTTTATGTGTTCTCCCTCCAGGAAGTAGATATTGTTTCACAAGGACACATAAACTAGCCTGAAATCCTTGGGATTCTCCACAGCAGAAGGGCAGCAGCAACAGGTGTCCACCATAGCAAAGCTTTTTTTTTAGTATCTTCTGGCTCTGGTTCTTTGAAAAAGAGTTGTTTTGTTTACTGCCCATCACCCTCCCAGCTGCCCACCTTTCCTCTCCTTTATAACAGGGACAATAAAAAGGAAAGATTTTCACACCTCAGCCAGTTTAGCTCACAGTCCAGCATATTGACATCTGTCTGTCTTCATGTTCTGTAGGAAGTCCTATGCAGGTGGTGTGGAGGCATGCATTTTCCTTTGCAGTCCTGCTAGAAGGGTGGCACAGCAGGAAGGCAGACAGCAGTAGGGAAGAAGTCATCCAGCAAAACCCCTCTTTTTAACCTGGAGATGTCACCCACCATTCAGGTGGGAAGGCTGCTGGGAAACTATTGCTCACCCAGCCATTAATCTCTGCTGGAGTTGTGACAACTGACTGAACTCCACAAGCTACTGAGCCCTCACATTATCTGGTTATTGTCACTCTGCGCTGGATACCTGTGTCTCTTGGTGAGAAATACTGTAAATCAGTCCTAAAATGACTGTAAGATGTGAACAAATAAATACAGTATGTTAGCTGATATTCGTCTCATACAAACAAATGCCTTTGTTTTCAAATTGCAGAGCTCGCTTCAGGTCAAAAATGCTCAAGGTCGAAAACATCCCAGGACACTACTTCAGTCAAGACTACATCATTGGACTATTTTTACCTCCTCACTAAAGATGGTCAGAGATGAAGTGAAATGCAAGTATGAGGAGAAGTTCTAAAGATGAGAGTCAAAATTACATGGCAGGTATGCACCAGTGCTACCTGCTCATATAACAGTTAAGAATCCTACCAAGACTAGGATGGCCTTTCACTTATATTCTGTTTTTTTCTTGCTGGATTATATTCAGAGTGTGCATGTGGGGGTATGGGGGTGTGTGTGAAACTCACTCTTGAAAAATCGTAATACAAAGTAAAATAGAGAAACTCTATTAGGCTTGTTTTATTTCAGGTGTAAATCTGCCATAGTTCTGCATAAGTCATTTGAATTATATGGCTGTGAGGACAGAATCAAGATTCACTATGATAACTTGAATCTAAAAATAGGTTGGTTGAGTTTCTAAATAGAAAAGGAAGGTCAGAAATGTTTTCATTTGAAGAAAGAGCTGTCTGAGTAACTCAGCTGAGTAAGCCCAGTTCCTCTGACATTTCATACTTTGGCCAGCACTGACTCATCCTGGGGAAAAAAAGCATGCCATTTCCAAGAGTCTCACTGAGACAGGCCAAAGTGGAATCATGGATTTGGATGCTGGAGGGCCTGAAATCTGGATCTAGATTTCACTGCTGAGCCCTAGGGTGGATCCAAGGTCTGGATGGGGACAACCTCCGCCTGCTGTAGATGTGAACTCTGGAGTCTGGGCACATCAGAAGTTAATGGTGCCAGTCTACTAGGAAATAGAGATACAGATCAGACTTTACTTATGCAGTAGGTTTTAGCTGGCTTTTGAATACAGTTTTAAATTGAGTCTCACTGTTCAGTCAATAGCCTGCTCAAGCCTTTGAGTGTCAGAATAAGCATCTAAAGATTTTACAGAGTAAATGCTGAGGAGTTGTAGAGCATATATTTCAAGTACAGCTGAAGGATTTATTTTGCCTGTAAAGCCTCGTTCCATGCAAGGACCTCACATCCTATGTTCAGAATGATGTGGAAATAGATAAAAACTACAGGGCTGTGGGCCCTGCCTTTGCATCGTATGCAAGGATTAATGGAAGGCTGTGATATTTTATAGTTGTGTTGAATAGGTTGCCTTTTGCTCTGATCGCTTCTGGAACTGAAACCAAATGCTCCTTTAATGGGTCTGCTAGAGTCCCCTAGGCACTCCTGCCTTCTGCTGGCTAAGCTGATATTAGCAGCCTCTTCAGTTTCAATATACCAACCCAAACGTATCTGGACATGGGCGGCTGAAAGATTTTACCCCAGCAATATTTGCCTGGAAGATGCTAATGTACAGTAAACCGTCCTTACCTGTGGGGCCATTCTGCTTTCTCAAGCAAGAGTCCTGCTTAGGGTAATTGTCACAGCCAAGTTCCAGCCTCAGACGAGCAGGTTCATCGTGACGGACTTCATTTTCCACAGTCATGGGCTAGCAAAAGCGTGAGAATCGAATCTTCTTTGGCAACTTTAATTTTCACACAGTCTTTTTAATTATAGTTACGATGTGTTGCCAAGTAAGTTTTGCTGCCTTTTCCCTCATTTTAAACAGCAGGACGTGCTGTGCTATAAGGTACTTGGCAACGTTCTTTTTTTAAATTAGTTTGCTTCCTTTTTATTACACATAATTCTCCCTGACCAACAATGGCTAACCTTGTTAGCCAAACAAATCCACAACACTTGGAAATGTTTATGGTTGGAGGTATATAAACAGAAGTACTTGAAATCTGGCTCTTAAATCCTTTTTTAAGAGCCCAAATAAAGATTCTGAGGTGAGACCACTTTTTTAATGGCACTTAACCAATAACGAAGCTATCTACAGATAACTACTTGAACTGCTTTTTCTGTTGTTTATTGCATTGCTAACATTTTGTTCAGAATACATGTAGGATCAAATTAGCCAGTGACTGATATATCTAGAAAACGTTTTGTCTAATAGGGTTAATATATAAAAACGATAATTTGTAATTTTTGGCTTTTCAGGGAAGAAAGTTTCCTTCAGCTATTCCATAAGATGAACCAATGTGTAGCTGCGCTATCTGGAGGAATCACTTTACGCTTGTGAATTGCAAACAGCTGGAACTACCCAATACCGTCACCTGCCTATTTGACACCTGAAAACAGTCATTTGGATAATTCGTTCATGACTCTCATGAACAATGCAGGGAAATAAGAAACATACGGAAGGACATAGTGACTCCTCGAGTATTGGGAGTCTTCTGGATGACACAGACAGAGAGGTGAGCAGCCTCACAGCCCGGGCTTTCAAAAGTTTGTGTGTGGCAGAACTTGAAGACTCTTACAATGAACCAGATCTTGCCATTTCCCCTGACTTCACTCGCCAGTTCTCTGCTAAATTTCACCCAGGGATGTTAAACCATGCCATCAAGAAGAGCAATGTCTGTAACAAGCTAACAGCCAGAAAGAATGAACATACAATATGGGCTTCGACATTCCAGCAGTTACCAAAGTGTGCTCAGGAGGAGAAAAAGGCTGCTAAAGTTAGCACCCTTGGCACAGAAAGGAGAAAGCTGAATTTGCCAGCCCCTGGGCCGAGGAACAATAAACATGTTTCAAAAGTGTCCTCTCTGATTAAGACATTTGATAAGACTGAAAACCAAGGGTCAGGAAGTTCCGTGGTAGGCAGTAAGCAGCCCATTAAAAATAGCTTTCAGAAATGTAAGTTAAATCATGGAAATGATATGGCTTGCTGGGATGACACAGCCATTTTAAGCATCCAGAAGGAACTTTCTGAATTTTCTGATGCTTGTCGAGATAGCCACTGTCTCAGTGGCAAACATGAGCCACAGAAAAGGCCTAATAAAACCGATCAGAGCTATTGTGGTCCCGATAGTTATTATCCGGTGCTGATTGAGATGTCAAAAGTAGCCAAGTCAAATTTCTCCCGTTTTTCTAAAAAGGCTGTCAAAAACAGAAGTGTGAAAGTTAATGAGCCAACCAAAAAAGGTAATTTTCTTCACAGTGAGAACAGTGCTTTTGAATCATGGAATGTCCATCATAAAAAACTGTCTGAAAAAGAGGAATTTGTTGATAAAATAACAAAAAAAGAAGGTTTTATGTACCTTGAAGAAGCACCACTTATTAAAGGATCCCGCACACGTGAACATAAATTACCACCTGTCAAGACCGCTATTGCTAGAAAGCAGGAGAAAGATTTTCAGATTGAGCCAACTCCACCAGAAACTGCTTTCAGTGTCCCCCTCCCAACTGTATATATACCTCAGGGCCCTCTCCCAGTCCCATCAGGAACTGATTTTCATGCTGCTCTTCCTCCTCCGCCCCCCTCTAGGATCCACACACACCAGGGCCCTCCTCCAACACCCCCTGTCCCTGAAGCCCCTCTTGTTCCTCCAGTCCCAGTTTCCCCCCCTGCTATGTCCCAGGCCTCCATCTCACCCCAGTCTGTGTCCTACAGGACCATTTTGCCCTCACCCCCTTCCCAGGCACCTGACCTGCCCGCCCCAGGACCCCCGGCTGCATTGACTGAGGAGGAGGCCCTCAGTCCCCGCCTAGGTAGTACCTGTCCGCCATGGAGGAGACAGAGGATTGCAAAAGGCAAAGCAGAGAGGAGACAGACTTCAAAGGAGACGTTCACGGCCAGCAGCGAGACATGCTCGCTATCTGAAAAGGTCGCTGCGGCTGAACCTTTCCTGGACACAACTCCTTGGGCTAAACAGGTAAACACCCTGGGATCGAGCAGTCCCTCTTTCAACATCACTGAACTCTTAACACCCATCATACCACCAAAACAAGAGGCAGACCCTGTGGAAAGTGGGCTGATCCTAGTGACACCTCCTCCCACCGAGAGCGTGGCAGGGAGAGAGCAAGAGGAGAGTGGGTTTATTGATTACCGATCTCGGGATAGTTACAAATCTAAAGCAACAAGTTTGTTATTCAACTTGAAGGATGTCCGTAAACGTGTTAAAAGCATTTATACCCCTTCTCCTCTGTTAAGGGCCTTGGAGGATAGAAATAAGACTAATGACACACAAGAGAGTGTAAAAATGAATGACTCACTGTCGACTTTGCAAGAAGAAAGTAACAAAAAGATTGCAGAAAAAGAAGAAATGAGTTCACCCCAAACAACAGCAGATCCTTTACTTTACCAAACCAGAGACAATTTGCAGCAAGGTGATTCAAAATATGAAGATCTTGTTGAAAACACTAGGGATAATGAAAGCTTCCCCTTGTTCAGACATCAATCAAAAGAACTTGATTTAAGAAAAAGTCTGTGCTATCCAACACTGAAACCGTATAGTAGAGACAATGCATATAAAACAGCTGGGCAGTCAATGCAAAATCTCAGTTTCCAAGGTGAGGAAAATGAGAGACAGACTGATAATGAAAATTTTGCCTTCAAAACACTCCCAAACCAGCTTTCACCAGCAGAGGATGTGCCTTACAGTGATAACCAAACCAGTGTGCTAGTAACTGGCAATGAAATAAAAGGCAAAAGAAGCACTAGTTCTTCCGAGCAGTCTTTTGTGTCCACAGTAGAGCAACCCTTTCAGGAGGAACTGTTTCCATTGGTGCCACTGATCCAGAAGGGATGCCTTCAAGAAAGCCAGAGGAATAAGAATGAAATGAGTGCAGACAGCAAGAAAAGCCACAGGGAGAGAGAGAAAGCAATTGGGGAAGATGAACTGCAATATTACGCTTGTATGATTTCTGGTACTAGTTCAGCAGAGAGGAGTGAGGGTAAGGTTACTGGAAATGAACAGAGGGGCCTGATGAAAGAGAAAATGAGAAAAGAGAAAAAGGAAGAGGCCAACAGCATGGATTCCGCTTTGGACAGTATAAAGGACACATCCACCTTGAGATCTGAGGAGCCACAAACACCACCATCTGCAAGCTCATCCAAACCCAGTATGTTCATGATTAAAGATAACACATTCAGGTCTCCTCAGGTAATAAGGGCTGTCAAGCTGCCCCTGTTCAGGTCCTTTTCCTTAGATGATACAGTGAGCAGCAGTTATAGGGAAATGCAAAGTAGATTTGTGCCCACAGCAGAGAACAAGCAGTGCCCAGATATGTTGTATGTCCCAGAGCTAGACTGGTTGTCATCAAGACTCAGAGTGCAACAGAACGTGAGGGAAGAAGCAGCTAGCAGAAAGATAGATGCCAGTGAGCCTGAATCTACTTCAACAGTGCTGGACCCCAGTCTTTTGGAAGATATAGAGAGCTTTTCATTAGGGAAGTTGATGGAAGAAGATGAAGAGACCTGTGGTTCATTGAATAAAGCTGGGAAAAAGAACAAGGAGAGCATTTGTGGAAGTGAAGAGAAACCCAAGATCTGGAAGGAAAGACACAGGTTAACACAGCCAGATTTAGGTCTAGAAAATAACCGAGCGCTAAACAACCCAAGCTATCCTGCAGAAGGAAAGATTAATTACTTTAAGAATCATCTTTTATCTAATCGCAAGGGTGGCTCTTGTGCGAAAAAAATAATCACTAGGGAGACAAGTTCCCCTGTGGTAGGCTCTCTGTCAGAGGACTACGCATATTCTCCTGTATCTCATGAAGCTTTAGAGGACATCCTACCCATGCAAGGCACACCAGTTTTGTTAGACAATCTTGCATGTTCTGCTGTAACAAGCCCCAGGTCAGGCAGCACAATGCACTCCCTTCTTACCAGCTCACCATCAGAGAAACCAACAATTTCTAGTTGCAGAGAGGCAGAGGATGTTATAAACCCTGCCTTGCTAAACATGGCACTAAAGAGCCAAGCTGATATATCTGCTGAAGAGAGACTTGATTCAGCGCAGGGGAATCTGCTTTCCGCTTCTGCAGGGGCAGCTGAGAGATTGGAGCTCAGGGGCCTTGGGGAGAGAGCAGCAGGCAAGCCTCCTGCTGTGCCACCGAAAACAGAAAAGGCTCTGCGGCGAGCCAAAAAGCTGGCAAGCAAGAGAAAGAAAATAGAAGAGCAGCAGAAAAAACATCAGACAGAGCATACAGCTGCTGTTGGGAGAGAGCCATCTCATTCTGGGCAAATGCTAGCATTTCCCTCACCCGCAGGAGATTCTCCTCTCCATCCTGCCCTTCACTCAGCTTTTACTCCTACAGAAACCAGTATAAGAAGACTCAGTGGTGCATCAGCAGTAAGCCCTTCACCCTCTTCAACCCAGCGTAAACTCCTCCAAGACCCTGACTCTGGCCAATACTATGTAGTTGATTTACCAGCTGAAGTTAATGTAAAGACATTTTATGATCCAGAAACTGGCAAATATATCCAAGTCTCTGTCCCTTCCTCAAAAGGGAACTTATACCAACCCCCCTCTTCAGAAATTATAAATTCTCCATATGCCTCCTATCCTAGAGTGCTGCCTTTACCAGCTTCGTCTGTAGCAGCGCTGAAGTCACCGTCTCAGCTCTCTGAACCTACCAGGTTAATGCAGACTGTACCAGGAGAGCCAGCAGAACTTCCTGAAAGTCACCAACAGGTCTGCAGATATGTTGAGCCTGTAGATACCCAGCCCTGTATTAATCCAGCCTCTTACTCCCATAGTCAATATGCTGAAGAAACTCAAATTCACTTAGGAAAGGACATGAGTCCAACCCCAGCTACAGATGTAGTGTCCCTCACTGATTTAGCTGATTTTGCTGCTGAAGGGGTATCTTGAAAGCTGAAGTTAAAAGATATGCCACCTACTATTTTTAAGATCTGTTCAGACAAGCACATGCACACACAAGCACCTGAAGATTTGATGTTTGTAAAACACTATATATCTGAATCTCACTGTGCTTTGGGTGGAAAGGAAAATGAAAGCTGAACATATTGCAAGAAGAGAAGTGATGACCACTCTGAAAAAGTGTGATACTGAGTGAGTTCCAAATCATCAGTGAGACAAAGGGGGCAATGCCAGCTAAACAAATACATATGACAATATGAAGCCACCTGCTTGCTGTTGCTGCTGCTTTGCCATTATGGTGCCTGGGATTGCCAAAGCAAGTGCTATTTTGCCCAGATGTGTTGCATGATATGTGACACAAAGTAAAACCTGTGAGACCATCCTGTCTATCCGATGAGATTAGGACAGATGCTGCATCAACTGAGCTTTCCTCACTCACTGCCTTTAAACTATATTGACAGTATGTGGCTACAAATACGCCATCAACCCAGGATTCATTTTTTGCACACATTGATTGCCCAGATGTTATTGACAAGAAGATTGTATACTGGATACACAGTGCAATGCAACATTCATATTGAAAAAAAACCTTTAAGAACCAGAATGCAATTGCAGCTGCTCAAGACTTCTCATATACCCTTGCAGTGTCCACTAAGTTGCTGCTCAATTCTTTGATTTTATTGACAGTCTCCAAATATGGTCCCCCTGAGCTGGTAGTGTTTATAATTCAACTTTAAACTCATTTTGAAAACTTGGCCTGATATATCTTGGTAAAAGGAGCAAATCCCATCGCAGTATTTATATTTTGGTTAGAATGAGAAGACTTTTGCTTGTTATAATTCAAATGCTTTCTTCTTTTTTTTTTTTTTTTAGTTTTGGTCAGGCTCCCAGTGAAATACAGAGCTAAATTTCAAAACCTGAAAAATGTTGTTCCTGATTTTGGACTTGTGCATTCTGTCATTTAAGAAATAAAGACATAAAACATTCAAAGTATTAATTTCTAGAAAAGGGCTTTAAAAAAGAAACTTCTTTGGAAGGATCTGTAGCAAACTTTAACTCACCCTTGCTTAAGCTCTTTTTTAATCATCTGTTTTATGGTACCTTCTCCAAAACTGCATAATAAGAAAACCTAGGCGAAAAGATGGTAATATTGAATGTAATGGCCTGCTTATAAATATCCATATTTGGAGTACCGATTTTCTTTCTTCTGTTTCATTTTCGTATTGTCTTCCCCAATGCAAACTGAAGTGCAGAAGCCCTAAGAAAGAATAATACTAATGACTTTGGGCCTAATTCACATCTAAGGCTATTTTTACAGGATTATTTTCAGTGGAGTTACTCTTGGCTTCCAGAAAAGAAAGGGAAGGGCCTTTTTTTAATAAATATGAATTGGGGATGGGACACAAGGCACCCTCCTCCCAGGTTTTAATATTTGTGATAGAGGTTATTTTCAGTAAATACTTGATTTCCCATGACTGAGGCTGTTCACAGGACACAGACAAAAGCTTTGCATTTTGCATACTTCTCTAACCTGAACTTAGCTTCCAATCTTCCTCTATCCCTAGCAACAGCCATACATGCAGAACCCATATGGTTCAAATCACGCACGTCCTTTCATCAATGCCATTTACTGAAACATTCCCCATAGAAGGGGTAAAGAGACACTAATGGCATCTCTTCAATGATTTCAGTGGCGTTTGAATGTGACCTGCTAACTGATCTGCTGTTGTCCATTTTACTTGTTGTGCAGAGTTGTGTCAAACTTGCCATTTTGTGGCTGGGAAGGGATATTTGTGGGAGAGGTATGGGGTGAAAAAGGACAGGTTTGTACTGCTTTAGTTTGGTTTTCTGTCACATTCAGCCCAAATGCCCATGTTCAGTTAAGCACTTGTTGTGCAGTCTCCATCCTTGGAGGTTTTCAACATCTGACTGGGTAAAGCCCTGAAGAACATGGTCTGACCTCGTAGCTGACCCTGCCTTGAGCAGGAGGTTGCCTCCTGAGGCCCCCTTTCAGCCTGAATTATCCTCTGATCCTGTTCTGCAAACATTTAAATTTCTAAGCCAGCTTTGACTTGAAATTCAGAAAATGCAATCCAATCTCCCTTGGGAAAGGGCTCATTTTGAACAAAAGAAAAAAGAATTTGAAAAACAAGAGTGTTTCAGGAGCAAGGATATATTTTCAAGTTGTTAAAGTAAGGGAAATGGCTCCCATTATGAATATTTTTCCTTTCTTTTCTTTTACGTCACAAATGTTTTGCCAAACTGACACACTACCTCTTCATGTTGCACTTTGTTGTTTGCTTTCACTTTATACAACAAAACTGCCTACACAGCATAGGGCAAAATGCCATCTACTTGTTAAAGTACAGATAAACAGATCTATTGAAGTTTTCCATGGTAGATTTAGAAGCAACCGATGTAATCTAAAATCCCAGCAGAGTGCACAAGCCTCTTTTTGGTTTTTTTGGTGTAAATGCCCTTTACAGCCACAAGTCAAGGTAGCAGGCAGACTCTCAGAGAACACGTAAAGGCATACTTTCCAAGGGAAGACTCTGGATACAATATTTCTGTGCGCAGACATAAGAAATGGCAATTTGATAAACAAAAATCTGCATTTTAAAAAAGTTGAATCCTTTGCGCTTGGTTAACAGTATGTTTGTTTTGTAGAAGTGCACACTTACTCTTCTGCACCATATTTTCAAGGTGCTTCTTAAGCGCTTACTGTGGAGGATGACTTCCTCCAATATGCTACTTTTAGGTTGGCTAGGAAAGCAGAGTGTATTTTTTGCTCGTGGTAAAGGCAAACTGAAGCCCTGAGGATCTGGAGTGAAGCCAGTCCTAACTTGGATACCACATATATTTCAAATAAGACTTCTTTATTTTGGCCAATCATTTCTGTTAGCTTGAGGGAGCTACATTCAAGGTGGACTGAGTCTCTAAACTTGTACGTGCCACAGAGGGAATTTTGGCCTAGAGAGTTTGTAGCAAAGTGAAACATAGAGCCGGGGAGTTTTGAAAACAAGCATGAAAATTATTCTTGTCATGTATCCAGAACTTTCCCTAGAGCACTTTGCCACAGGGAATGAATGATGCCTGTGCTATAAAAATGTTGCTCCAGGTCCCGGACCAGTATTGATTCTGCCTGAATGTGAACCCATCAGCAAACCTGTCTCCGGCCTGCACCATGCTGCTGGCCAACTCCTTGCTAGGCCATATTCAGAAATAGGAGGATATCTATATCTATATATATTTTTATATATTTTTCAGATTAGACTGGCTTATGTTACATCAGGATGTTTAGTGCTTTCCCTTACTGCCCTGAGATCCTAAATCAAGAGTCTAGCAAGAATAAGAGCAGTAGTTTGCTGTGGTTCTTCTCTGTAGCAAAGCTAATGTTGTTCATCTGATCAGGAAAAGAACAATAGATGTGTGTAACAATAAAAAGCTAGATCGTAAAATGGAATGCAAAGAAACTGGTCCACTGAGTCTAATGGAGCTGGGGCTAGTTCAGTCAGCTGAGCGCGCTGGTGTCATACAAATGAAGCAGAACTCTTTTCCTCTGCTCAGGAAACAATAGCTCTGTAGCTTTTAAAGCTATATACAGGCATGCTGTGGTTGTGGCCATTTGCATAGCAATGTGAGACAGCAGTAATGCTTGTGATGATGATCACAAAATGTTTGTGCATTAAAAGGAAGTCAAAGGACACTTCATCAAATAACAAAGGCTTTCCTTTTTTTTTTTTGCCCTTTTCTTGTTTGTTTGATTTTTGCAATTGCTGCCATGGGAAATCTGGGATGGAAGAGGTCATTACAAGGCAAAATGACAGCTGTAAATTGATCTTTTTTTTTTTTTTTGGCTATGGGAAATGTGCAATATTCATGAAAATAGTTGTAGAAAAGCACTGTTGTATGACACAAATGATAGTGATGTTAAGGCATAGAGTGAAAAGAGGTCTAGACAAGCTCATCTGGAGCAAAGCTGAGCTCTGGCCTTGCCAGCAGCCAGCAGCCAGGATGAAAGAAAACCGCAAATCTTTGCATACACAGAAAGACAGCAGGAAGGGAGTTTAGGCCATCACCTTCAGGGATGCCCTTCTCTTGGAAGTTGCCTTTTTTTGCATGCTGCATATTTTGGTGCCCTGAGGCTTTTTTGCCTTTTGCCTTTTGGTGGTTCTTCTGCAGTGGATGTGACTGAGGCAAAGCAAAGTCCAGCAAGGGGCGCATGCTTCCCTAGTCTTTGGCACTAGGGTCAAAATTGCCTCCCTTTGAACCTCTGTCTGTTCCAGGC